ATCTAATGCCTAGAAAATGATTAATCAACTAACGATTTTTAAACTGATTGCCAAGGGCGTGTGCGGAAAACTCAGTAGATAACTGCAGAGGAGAGGAAACTTTCATCCATCCCTGTCCATACTGCCCACAATCCCAACGTATTCCAAATTCTCTGTGGGGGAGGACCTAAATATTGCGAGCAAAACTATTATGAAAACGAATATTTTACACAGCCTGTTCCATATACAGGTCTGGAGATATTACCATGATCTTTTTTAAGAGTACAAAACACACCATCACTGAGGCATCTTAATCACACAGAAGGTAAACGCTGTACATTAAATAACGTCCATACCTGTATCAGCCCTTCTCGGGACAGATCAGCTGTCTTCACTACATCTTCAACGGGCCACCAAGAATTGTGCAAATAAATGGCTAAAACTACCAAAAAAAAGAGGAAGAGGAGGAAACAAAGGAAGATCTATTTTTGAGATGTTTACTACAATGATATCAAGAGCTTGTACAGATTCAAATAGAAACTCATGTGCTCTTGGTTTCTCTTCTTGTGTTATGTAAAGAGTTTTTCTTTTCCTATTGCATTTCCATTGTTGGCAAACCAGATGTTTGGGAGGAGAGGGGGGGTTCATACTCTTCTGGGGCTGCTGGAATTAAGAAATTTCAAAAGGAGTTTCCAGCCCATCAGTAAACATAAGACACAATTACACTGGAATTTCTCAGGTACAAAATTCATTCATTACAATTATGCTGCCAGAAAAGAAGGGTCCATGCAATTAGGTCCATGGTTCAAAAATATTACCTTATCCTCTTTCTTTCTCTGTTCATTTTGCTGAACTAAAGTCTGACCTAATCACCAAAACCAGAATGGATGAAAATTGCTTCCGGAAAATGAACAGGCTGTAGGCAAACCTAAAAACCAGTGTGATATACTGGTCAGAACTGCAACTGGAGATACCTGGGTTCAAATGCGCACTCAGAGGCATGCAGTTTACTGGATAACCTTGGGCAAGAAATTGCAAGTAGATAAATAGGTACCACTTCAGTGGGACGGTAACAGCATTCCGTGTGCCTTGGAATTGCAAGTAGATAAATAGGTACCACTTCAGTGGGACGGTAACAGCATTCCGTGTGCCTTGGTGTTTAGTCATGCCGGCCACATGATCACGGAAACGTCTTCGGACAGCGCTGGATCTTCGGCTTGGAAACGGAGATGAGCACCGCAACCCTAGAGTCGGATTCAACTAGCTTTCGAGCAAGGGAAACCTTTACCTTTAACTTCCAAGATACTGATTTAATACTTGATTTTTGTGAGCATATTTTATGATGCTATTCAAAAATTTAAAGGGATGGAGAAAAAGGAGGCTGGTATTCAAAAATTTAAAGGGATGGAGAAAAAGGAGGCTGGTAAAACGTCGACCCAGCAACTGTCAGTTCATATTACTCAGACCACCTTGCCTATTTGGATCCTCTCCTTATAAAAAAGGAGTTTAGCTATGCCATAAGCAGGAGTATTCACTGTTCATTGAAATACATTACTTCTGGACTTGATCGCCACAAAGAAAACACTTGGACTTCTGTTTTTTTGCCCCTACACATTCATCACTAATTTAACCCTTCGCTTAGAACCAGATTTGGAGAAATTATTCTCAACACAAAAACAGTCTTACAACACCAGTGTGATTCTCATCAACATGAGTATGAGAACTCCCAGACATCCAATGGTTTTTTACACATATGCCTAGAAACATTTGCAGATCTGTGTAACACACACTCAACAAGAAGCCATGATTGCCTGTAAAAAGGTAAAGGTTCCCTTGCTCGAAAGCCAGTTGAATCCAACTCTAGGGTTGCGGTGCTCATCTCCGTTTCAAAGCCGAAGAGGCAGCGCTGTCCGAAGATGTTTCTGTGATCATGTGGCCGGCGTGACTAAACACCAAGGCGCACGGAACGTTGTTACCTTCCCACCGAAGTGGTCCCTATTTATCTACTTGCAATTTCTTGCTTTCGAACTGCTAGGTTGGCAGGAGCTCGAACTAGAGATGGGAGCTCACTCCATCATGCGGCACTCGGGTCTCGAACAGCTGAACTACTGACCTTCCACAGCCTGCAGTTCAGCGTCTTAACCACTTGAGCCACCACAGTTCCTTGCCTGTAGCTCCTAGCTAAATATGTACTTCATGGCAGACCTGGATTTGTTGCCATGTAATGTGTGATATCGCTCCCAGAAGTTCTGTTTTTATATCTCATTTTTTATAACAAAAGACTAATCCAAATCAATAGACTGACAAATAACAGCTTCCCCAAGTAGTGTACTTGTTATCCACCACTGTGTTGTTACACTGTCAATCAGTGAGTGTCACAACTATTCCTTTTAGAAATGGAGGGGCTGTGGTTCTGTAAAAGTAAAGGTAGCACCAACCTGCAACGGCGCAGCAAGTGAGGCTGTGAGATCGCCAGTGCGCCCATCTGCAGGAGCAACCGAGGCTCCCGGCCGAACTGTGCACGCGCACACATGCGCAGTTCGTCTGCCTCGCTCTCCCTGCAGTGGCTTCCCCCCCACCTCCGGCATCTGATCGTGCGGGGGAGCAACTGCGCGGCGGCTCAGGGGATCTATCTGATCCCGCCACCGCGTGTCTCTTTTGGTGCAGCTACTTTAAGATCTCTTGGACTACAGCCACAGAGGTTCATGCTTGTTAGCAGGTTCTAGCAGGTGTGATTTAGTTGAAACCCCTAGGTATTACTTTCTCCCCTATTCTTACATTGCGACAGACAAGACTTCTGGAACAGGCGAGTATAAACCAATTGTCCTACCTACCTCCAAGTAAATAAGAAACTATTTTTGATATCTTTCTGTAATTCTAAAGGAACCTTGAGTGTATGTGAAGTGAGACTGATTATTTTGTGTGTATGTGACGTTAGTATTGCTCAGTAAAAAGATTATTTGTTTTGGAAAAACACCCGTCTCGTCTTCATTACTGGAACTCTGGGTTCAGACACTTCGGCCGTTCTTTTTTCCCCCGTGTGGCAGGGGCCTATGAAGAGCATCCTGCTAGAAACATTCAGACGAACAGTAAGAATTTCTTTAAATACATCCGAAGCAGGAAACCAGTCTGGGAGGCAAGTAGAGCCCTGGAATAAAGACATCAAAGGATTGCTAAAGGAAGCCAGGTAGATGGCAGAGAAACTGAATTCCTTCTTTGCACACTTTTCCAATGTGGACAATGGGAGGCAATTACCTACGTGGAATCACCATTTTCAGGACTGAGGGTTGGAAGAACTGAGTCAAATAGAGGTAACAAGAGATGAAGGTCAAGAGCTAAAGGACATGTCAAAAACTAACAAGTCACTGAATCATACATAAGACCACAAGAGAAGCCATGATGGATTACAGAAATGGTCCATGTAGTTCACCATCCTGTTTCCCTCAGTGGGCAGCCTTCTCCCCAGCTTCTGATAATCAGAGACAGTCCACCTCTGAACCCGGAGGTCAAGGAAGAAGACGAAGACGACGATGATTGGACTTATCCTCCACCCTTATACTACCTGAAGGAGTCTCAGAGTAGCTTACAAACTCCTTTCCCTCCCCCCCCCAACAGACACCCTGTGAGGTAGGTGGGGCTGAGAGAGCTCTCCCGAGAACTGTCCTGGAGAGAACAGCTCTGAAAGAACGTATGACTGAGCCAAGGTCACATCAGCAGCTGCATGTGGAGGAGTGGGGAATCGAACCTGGTTCTCCCATTTTAGTCTACACTCCTAACCACTACACCAAACTGGCTCTTGAGAAGGAATCCTTAAGAACCTCAAACAGAAAAAAAATTGTTCACCTCCTAACAAAGGCCCCGGTCACACGGGCAGGAAAATGCGGGGGGGGGGGAGCGTGGCTGTTTGCCCCGGGGCAAAATAACGCATGGTTGCACCAGCAGATGTACCGTGGAGGTCCCGTGGTAGAGGGGAGGTGCCGAGCATACCACAATCCCACTGCGGCAAAGAAGCAGCGTGGTGCGGTGCGGCAAACGGGTGTTTTTTTCTCCGGACACCAAAGTGTGCGCATGCCCCGTTGGGTGCTCATGCGCATCCCATGGACAGTTGAAAAAAACCCTTTATACGAGGGGGCATGGACAGGCGCCGGAACTACCACCGGAAACGCGATCAGACACCCACCCTTGCCTCGCGGTTACTGGAAACTAGTACCTCCGAGGTACTAGTTTTTAACCACACATCTTCGGCGGGAAGCCTCGGGTTCGCCACGGGAGCTCTACGCTTCCAAGATGTGGTGGTGAGATCGTGCCCGGAAAATCCGCCTGTCTTCCATCCCTCTAGCGTGCCTAATGCTCCGTGTGACCGCAGCCAAAAATATGCAACTTGTAACTCAAATTGGAGTAGGGCCAGGAGACAGGATCCAATTCCTCCCTCCGCGCTTACATGGCACACCATCATCACAAGGCTGGAACTACGAGGCAGCTCCGTAGGTTTCTTGTACTAAATGTAACATAGGCCCCAGTCACACGGGCCGGACAACGCGGGGGGAGGCGTGGCTATTTGCGCCGTCACAGTTTGATTCATGATTAAGCGATCGGATGCGATGGCGGTAAAGCGGGATTTCGGCAGTCGGCGCCCGCAGCAAAGACGACGGCTAGAGGGAAGAGCCGCGCACTGGCGCCATCACACCAACCAAGTCCGTCAGCAGCCCGTGGCAAACCGCTTGCTAGTACTTGTTAGCAGGTACTTTTTAACTGCGGGTTTTCGGCGGGAAGCCACAGGTGTGCTACACTTGCCAGATGTGGCAGTGTGATCGCGCACGGATAATCCGCCCGGCATCCGTGGCTCTCCCGCGGCAATTCTGCCGTGTGAACGGGGCCATAGGGTATTTTCAGTGCAGAGAATATGTTTGTTTCACTCCTGAAGCCGCAAAGATGAAATTTCCTTTACAAAACATGGAAATAAACATGGACCAGTCTTCTAGCTGCAATTAGAACACTGGAGGACCAGGGAAAGCAAAATCTTCCCTCTACAGTGGAGGGTTTCAGAAGGAAGACATGACCGGATGGTTAGTAGTAAGGGAGACTGAAACTGATGGGTGTGCGCAATGAATAGAATCAGGATGGCAAGAAAAACAGGAGAAGGAACATTGGGGGTGCAATGGGAGACCCCAACGTGATGCACGTCACAGGCTTTGGGAGACACAGGAGGCCATGAAGATAGCTTCAGGTGGAGAGCCATGCTGGCCTGCCGAATGACACCAAAATTCGAATCCAGTAGCACCTTAAAGACCAATGAGATATTCAAGGAATAAGGGCTCCGGGGTCTCCAGTATGAGAGCCAGTTTGGTACAGTGATTAGGAGCGTAGACTTTAATCTGGGAGACCTGGGTTTGATTCCCCACTCCGCCACATGCAGCTGCTGGTGTGACTTTGGGTCAGTCA